ATAGGTTTTTGTAAATGGATAATACCATCGTTGAGGTATACCATATTCACCTATAAGAAAATAAAATATTTGAATTTTATTTTTTTTTTTGGATTCTTACCAGGAAAAACATTTTCAATGTAAATAGTTAGTACCATATAAATAACGGAATCAACAAGCATCATTATTAAACAATAGAGGAATGTAAAATTATCGTTTGGTTTTGCACCTTTATTTATATTGTACCATTGAATACCTTGTGTCATACCTTCAAATCGTGCAATATAATCACAACCAAGTCCAAATGCAACTGTGGATGATAGACACTAAATATAATACTTTGATGTTTTAAAATTTATTAGAAGTTTTTAAATTCTTACAGAAATAACTTTATGCCATGTGCGTGTTGAACTATCGTAATTAATTAATACTGTATATGGTAAGTAGAGAAGAAAATAAAGTATTCCAGCACCTAGAATAGATATAACATTTATAGTGAATCTATGGAAAAAGGACATACCACATGCGGCTAAATTAGCCCGTTTGAAAAAAACGCTTAGAAGAAAACATTGATTGATTGTTGCAAATGTATAACAAACAAAGAATACAAATAATACTAATATATTGGAAAATTGTGTTATTTTGCCATACTAAATTAAAAAAATAGATGTAAGTCTTTTATTATTTGATTTTTATATAGTGAAAGTTAGTGATGACCTCGAGATACTATTCGTATTTTGACATGCTATTAGACGATATCATTTGATTTGATTTAAATATAGAAAAATCAAAATATTTTCCGATCGAGAGCACGATCGTTTTGACATTCATCTTTCGATGACGTCAACAACTTTTTATAGATCAAGCAATTAATAATCACTACACTCATTTCATTTTCCGAGAAAATTTCTTATTGAAAATCTTTCTGTAAATTGAGGTTAAACTTATTGATCCCTGTAGTTCGTGAAAAAATTATTATTCTAATATATTCTGTTTGCTCTTTCCATATATAAATTTTAATAATGTAAAATCAACAAATCATGAGTGGTAATAAAATAGTCTTATCTGATAAAAATAAAAAGATTGATTTACTTTTAAAATAAGAACAAGTAGTATAGCTGTTATCAACATAACAACAGTACAGAGAACAAACCATGTAAACCAATGAACAGAATCATTTAAACCCATAATTCTCATTATTTCTTTTAATCGTCTAAATAAATAAGTCATATGAAATTTTCTTAGAAAAAAAACATTTTTTTTAGTCTAACTTTTCTTTTTCATAAACAATATCTTTGACATTCATTGATACAGTAAATATCCAACTTAATACCATAAATAATGGTAACATTTGTCGAATTGAATTAACAAATCTATCATTAATCCAACATGGATACGGCATTTGTTGAGTTTGTATTCCATATGATATATTTAAACCTGTTTGTGTATTAATAATAGCACGATCAAGAGCATTTTGTAAATAAATAAATGTAAATGAATGATATTTCGTTGATAATGGTGCTGAATATCGTGGTGCATATGAAAAATATCTATATAAAAAAATATTTTTATTGAAATTTCTTTTTCTCTTTATATTTACCGATCTGCTGTTTGATATGTATTATCAACATAATCCAATATCATACGTATTTTATATTTCATATGCTTTGGTAACGTATCATTATTTGATATATCATCAAGAAATTCAATTGCAGCTAGAAATGTATTTGTTACGGAATTATTTTGTCCATCACGTATCATATCTGCTTCACTATCTTTTTTAATAAAACGATCTCTATCTGAACATGCCATAAATTCAGTTAAAATTGTAAATAAAGATATTGGAGTTTCATATGATTTGATTTGTTGACATATTGTTGATGAATTTGGTAAGAAGCGACATAACGTTGAGAATATTTTATATGTGGGTTGAATCATTGTTTGAACTTGACGAAATAATTTTATTAATTCATCTAATGATTCAAATGTTTGATTGAGTTGTTTAATTATATTATCATAATGAATATTCGACGGATGATAATAGATTTTTCCGTAAAGTAATGGACGTATAAGAGTAGCAAATTGTTTTAATAAATCATAGGAATTAAATACTTGATCAAATATCACACAACGACATGTACGATTAACAAGAATTATTTGTTGAATATTACCAGAACCGGCTGAATATGATTGTTGACATATAGCAGAATCATTATAATGTAATATACTGGCTGCTAAATCATTCCAATCGATATCAAGAACTTCCTCTCCTTCTGTAGTTGATGACGATGATGATGATGATTGTGATGTGTTACTTGATTGACTGTTTTGAGATGAACTTGGATCAAAATCAGTAGAAAGATCATTACGTCCACCACAGAATGTTGTTAAACTGAAATAGATCAGAAAAAAGTAAATATAACATCCTCACTCACTTCTCTTACCTAAGGCTACTATTGATCTCTTGAAATGGAAAGCTAACATTAAGAACTTCTAATCGAGAAAGAATATTTTGTGCTGTTAGCATAATCTAAAGAAATCAATAAGTAAATAGAATAAAATTAAGTAAGATTATTACTTGTAAACCACTAAATGAAATACCGATTATATTTGGTCCCATGACAACCAAAAATGTATTATCAAGTTGTTCTTGTACACTAATTAAAAAGTTTTTTAGATCAATTGCTGATAAATTTTTGCATAAAAAATCTTTTGATTCAGTTGATTGCATTTGATTTGTTATTAAAAATGTTTGATTAAATTGTCCATCTGTACAAAATGATTGTTTAATATTCGTTTCGGAACGATAAACCTAAATAAAAAAAAAGGTAAGTATTCCTATTCGTTTGTTTTTGCAAAACTTACGTAAGAATAATTTGTTTGTAATGATGCAAAATATATTTCAAGAGCAACATTTACATTTGATAATGAATCCGTTCGATTCATTAACCATGATTGATGAAGATTTGTCAAATTAACAGGATTTGAAAATAGAATATTTATTGTTGTTTGTGGAATTGATTGATTAAAATCATTCGATGTTTTATTTGTTAAAATCGTACCTTTGAAAATAAAATATTAATTAAGAATTCTTATCTTTTTAAAAGACATACCATTCCATATATTCAAATAACTATTAATTGAGTCTGCTTGATCTAATAGTGTCGTTATATTGCTAATGATTTGATCGTCATTTAATACAGTTGAAAGACTATCAGTAAAATTTGAAAACATATCGATTATCCTTGAAAGAAAAAGAAAAACAAATAAATAAATAAATAAGACTGAAGAAATATAAACCTTGTATCATTATATAATGCATTAAATTCATTATCTGGATTTGGATAATTATGACAGGTATTATTCCAACGACATATATAAGTTTGGAAAGCGGGAAGGAAACCTGTTGATCCAAGATATTTTGCATCATTATGACCTTAGTAATAAATAGTTTAGATTTTTATATTCAGTTTTTTTCTAGATGATACTTACAAGCATCATAATAAAAGACTAGATTTCGTGTTCGTACCCACATGAGAATAAGAAATAAGAAAAGTGGCCAGATTAATTCGAAGATAACACGAGGCTTAATTAAAAAATAAATCATATTTCTCTTTAATTTAAGATTATTAAACTTACCCATCGTCTTCGTCGAATTGTAAAATTTTTCCATAGAACTAGACGAATTTGTCGACCAACACCCATCTTTTCTTTGTTTTTCTCTCAAATTTTGATTATATAATTGCTAAATGAATATGATGTCGGGCATAATAGTCGTCTTTAGTCTATATAGAAAAAAAAGCATGATATCAATTTAAAAATATTCACATTCTATATTATGCAGGTGCATATATTAAATGAATATTTTATACACACCGACTGTCGATCAGTAGAGAAAAAATAAATGTTTAAAAGAAGCAAAAACAGCCGTTCTTGTCGAACGTTTAGATCAAGGGCGTTCTGTTTCTTTTTATTGGGAACGTAAGAGAAAAGAATGTCAAATTCTATGAGACATGTTTACCTTTACGTCTTATTTATCTGATTGAGTTTGTTTTTTTCGTGATAGAAAAGAAATCACTGTTCTCTTTGCTTTACTATGAACTGAGAAGAAAAAAAAAGAATAAAATCATTGAGACATTTCATGATTGGTTGATTTATATAGAAAAAAGGTACAAAAATATTTTATTTCACGTACAAAACGATTTTAGAGTACATGTAATGGATGAACGAAGGTAGATTTTTTTTATTACATACTAAATATAAAAGCATGCACAATTCACTAAGCACATTATTCGATATAAAATTTTTTAGATAGGTCTATTATATGTAAAAACAAAAACATACGGTGTCAGTAGTATTGGAGAAAAAATATGACAGATTTACTTAATTATTCACTGATTTTTCTTCTGTTTTATAGATCATCTCAATTTTCGTCCTTTACACTATTTCTAATCCATAGAAAATAACAAAAATATTTGACTATGATAATAATTCTATTCAAAATCCACATCTTAACTCTACTTAAGAAATATTATTTCGGGAAGTAAAATTTTTTTCCACATGAGCTGAGAATCAAATGATTTATCCTAAATAAATATATTCTATGAGTAAAGAGAGTATAGAAGAAATTGTTGTCATTTCATGACGTAAATTTTTCTTTTATTGCATGAATGAGAACAGAACAAAATATTATGATGAGTATCACACGAAAAAATATAGACCAATTGAATGGTAATAGATGACAGTAGTTGTAATAGAGAGAAAATATTAATATGTGATGCAATTCATTTTTATATGTACATTTTTATACATACAACATACAATTCTGTTTATATAAAACTTTAATATTTCTGAATACCTTGACAATGATAACATTATTTACTAGTGTTATCATCAAATATCGGGTGATGTCTACTTATCATTAAGTGGTATACTTATCATAAAATGCTTTTGAAATAAATCTTTCGATTTTTGTTCTACATTGTATTTATATTTCTTATATATATAGAAAATCATCAAAGATGGGTAAAGAAGAAAAAGAATTTGGTGGTACACCAGGAGCCATTGGTTTAATTATATTCTCACATTTTGTACCATTTTATTTTGCTCTATCACTTCAATATAGTTCAGGCGGACTTTATTTTCCATCATCATTTGATACTTTAATTCAGAATTTCAAAGAAACATGTTCACCAACATGGTCAGCATTTTTTCTCTATACAGGATTTTGTCTTCTACAGCTTATATTTGCTGCTACTTTACCTGGTCTAGTAATTAAAGGTTTACCAGTACCTACAGAAAATAATCGACAATATACATATAATTGTAATGCATTAACTAGTTGGTATGTAACATTAGTACTTGTTGCGATACTTCATCTAACTGGTATAATACGTTTAACAATATTAGCTGATCAATTTGGTTCAGTTCTTTGTGTTGCTGTGATATGTGCTGATATTTTATCAGTAATTATTCATTTTTATGCTATTCAAACAAAGAAAACATGTCGTATGACACATTCACCCCTTTACGATTTTTTTATGGGTGTTTGGTTAAATCCACGTATTAAAATTTTAGGACAAGAAGTAGATTTAAAAATGTTAGCTGAAGTACGTTTATCATGGCTTTTATTATTTCTTTTAATTATTTCTGCTGCATTGAAACAATATGAAGCATTTCATACAATTTCCTGGCCCATGATGGTTATTTTAACCGCTCAATTACTCTATATAAATGCTTGTATGAAAGGTGAAGAATGTATTCCAACAACATGGGATATATTTTATGAAAAATGGGGTTGGATGTTAATCTATTGGAATTTAGCTGGTGTTCCATTTGTATATGCATTTCATGCTTATTATATTCTTGTTAATTCTTTGCGAACACATAAACCAGTTGAAGGTACATCAATGACATTAGTTATGATTTTATTTACTGTCCTATTTTTTGCCTATTATATATGGGATTCATCACAAGCACAAAAAAATCGTTTTCGTATGAAACAACGTGGTACATATGTACCAAGAAATGCATTTCCACAACTTCCATGGAATACATTAAAAGATCCGAAATATTTGAAAACTGCATGTGGTTCAACATTATTAACTGATGGATGGTGGAAATTTTGTCGTAAACCACATTATACAGCTGATATATGTATGGCTATGTGTTGGGCATTATCTTGTCATCAGTGGCCTGGTGCTTTACCTTATTTTTATCCTTGTTTTTTTACCGGCATGATTATTCATCGTTATACACGTGATATAGCACGATGCAAAGTTAAGTATGGTAAAGATTGGACAATTTACTGTGATACAGTACCGTACGCTTTCATTCCTGGACTTATTTGATCATTTTTTCTGTGATATTTTTTTTTTCTTAATTTTTTAGTTTTATTATATTTTGCACTTTATAGGTAGATTTTTTTCTGTTTGACTGGAATAAGATTATATCATTTTTCTCACTAACAAAACTAGATAATAAAATATATTTCACAATAAGCACAAAATATAATTATACGTATTTATAGCATCAGCAAGATCGAAACGCGTGGTAGTCATTATTTGATGCCGTTTTGCATTTATGTCTTTTGAATGGATAAAGTCACCCTCACCCTCTTATTTTATATCTAATTAAAACAAATGACAGAGTTATGAATATGCTTTATTAAACAGAAATAAGATATGAACTATTCGGAATTAGAATATAAGTAAAACGTCACAGATTTCGTCGTTGTTTGTTTTTTTCAATGGCATGCTTAAAGAATGCTATTAGGGTTACCAACAGGCCCACCAATGTCTTCTCTTTAAATCTTCAACTGGATCCAATTCTTGCTGTGCTCCACGAAGATCCCGGATCAGCTTGCTCACTTCTTCTTGAAATTCGCTTTTATAACTTTGAAGCATTCCTGTCACTTGCGGAATGATTCTTTCAGCATCAGACACCGTCCAACCTGTAATCGAATCGCGCCTATCTAAATCACCATTTTTTGCTGCTAAACTCATTGTTCGAACAGCAAGAATTTGTCGGTTATGTGCAAACAGCATAAAGTGTTGTATATATCGAAATTCGTGATGTGTATGTTTCTTGTCGAAACACTTTTCACATAAATCATAACTCGGAGAACACTCTCGACATTGATAGCGCTTCCCCGTGAAGCATTCAGATGAGCATCCATTACATGTGACACCAAAGTGATAGAGGCCATTGAGTGTTAATGCTGGTAAATTTTCTGAAAGTATTTTGAAGGTATGTCCAGAAGAGTGCAAGGTTTTCATAAGCGGAAAACATTGATTGCATACGTTATAGGCTTTACATTCTTGACATTCAAAGCCTGTTTCTTTTTCGATACTAAATACCCTGTGGCAATGCTTGCAATAAGTTAGAAATGAGTAAAGATATTCATCACTAGTAAATATTGATGAATTCGAAGATGTCTGAAATAAAAAAATAAATAATTCTTTCGATTAAAAAACCTCGACTATTTCTTTTCATAGGATATCTTACACATTTGTTTGACTCTTGTTTATCATTACAATTTTTGGATGATGCAGTAGCAGAATTTGCCATAGATTTGGCGGCTGATACACTCATTTCATCAAGTGTATGGAATAATTGACCTGCTCGATTATGTTCCTTTTCCTCACATAATTGGCAAACAAAATGGTCAACACATTGACGACACTTGTACATAATAGATAATGATGTAATTTGTTCACCACATGATGTACATTTGGTTGCCATTATGAAGATAAATGAAAATATCTAATGAATTTGATATTAATTTGTTCGGCTATATACTTGTGTATCAATGTACGATCGTCTTTAATAGTTTCAGCAAGAAAGGAAATAGTGTTACACGTCTTTGACTTGTTGCGCAAATAAGATGTGTAAGCAAAACAAACGATAACAAGAAATAGTTAAACAATTGTCACACATCATTTCACATTGCATGACGCTGCATTAATCGATAAATAAGTCATTGAATCGGCTAGGATATTTCCTATCTAAAAGCTCGCATTAGTAATATGATGTAGTGACATCGTCATTGGACTTTTCCATGTATGCATGTTTTTTTCCCGTTTATACCTGATTCTTTCCTTTTTCTTTTATATGATATACTGTCTTTTCGTTCTGTCGAATATTTCAATACGTTACTACCTTTCTCTTGTTGTTCTCTCCTGTTTTGCTTCATTGAATTAAACTATTATTTCATTTTGCATTTCTTTCCTTGCTCCTACATCTAAACGGGATAAGTAAGAAGTGAATACTTTTATTCAAGGACGAGTAACAACAACGAAGATATTTTCAATAAAAAAAAAAAGAATTGATCGACGCATCAAAATATTCTTAAATGAAGTATTCGTTAATTATGTAATATCAACGACACGTCTAATGATTTTGATTAGAATAAATCCTGTTCTTTTCTTTCATTCAACGATGATCTCTCTCAAATCACCGAATAGTAATTGTAAACCATAAAGATAATATTTGATTATGCTCGCTCAACTAATGATTGAAACCTTTTATACAGTATTTTATTGGAAATATCTAATCAATATGGACAAATAAGTTTCGAATGAATGTGATCAAGTTTTTCGATCATTTGATTTAAAACTGTTGTAGTTCTATGCTTCAAAGATCTTAGAAGTCTTTTCAGATGACATTTTACACTAAGCAACATTAAACAACCATTGAGATAATATATTTTATTAGTAATTAAACAGTAAAATCTAATTGACTTTTTATATAATCATATAAAAAATATATATACTAACACATAAAAATAAAAATTTATAAATAACTCTTTGTTATTGTATCATCATTTTCTTCATCATCATCTTCAGCACGTGTGTAACCAACATTTTCAATACCAACATAAGGCATTGGAGAACCGGGTAAATAAACAATTGAGTCACGAGTTGCACGCTAAAATTATTATAATGAATTAAATTTAAAGAAAAGTCAATAAATCATACTGTTTTTAATGCATGCATAACAGCATCATTAATTGAAACATGAATATTTTCAAGACCAGCAACATCCATATAACTCATACGTTTCAATTGTTGATAGACAGTAGCTAAAAAGATAAATATTTTACAATAGTAACTCGACAATATATATAAACATACGTCGAACTTGACAAAGTAGAACTGTTACACCAATTTCTTTATAATCTTTAAAAATCTAAATACAAAACAATATAATTTAATAAATATTAAATTTAGAAAATTCTTACTTGTATCAATGTTTTAATACCCATTATATCCATATAATTAATAGGTGAACAATCAATAATAATATGATCAAAGTTTGGTCGATATTTTTTTCTAACTTCTTCAATCTATTAAAATAATCTTCGAATGTATATATAAATTAATTTTACTTTACTTTTTCATCTTTTTCTTCTAATATTTTATTTTCATCAATTACGATCTCATCATTTTGTATTGTTTCATTTTCTTTTCGAAAATGTCGTTTAATATTCTTAAATTTATTACTCGGTTTAGCTAACTGTAATTTATATTCGCGTTCAACATTCATCATTTCATCATTCATTGCTTTTATTTGATCATCAACACGTAAACCAATACGTTTAATAAATAATTTTTTAAACATATCAACATTAGCATAGTATATATTTTCTTCAAAACGAAAAATTTTTAAATTTGGTATATCAGTTGCTGATGGATATGCATTTTGATCTTCATAAACACCAGCGGATGATAAATAACCAAGTGATGTTGCATGTGGTCTTGAAAATAATAAAAATTTATCTTAATATAAGAGACAAATTCTTTATTTATACCTCTGTGATCGAATAATTAGTAAGAGAATCATAGCTACAACTCCAATATATAAACCATAATCAACATCAAGCAGAACAACACCCCAAAATGTTATCATCCACGCTAAAAATTCAAGTTTATTGATACGCCATAAAACAGGTAATTGTTTCGTTTGTAAAAGCATATTTTTCATAGCTGTTACTATAATAGCTGCTAAACAAGAATTCGGTAATGTACGAAATAATGGACCAACAGCTAGAATAACAATTAATACAACGATGGATGCTAAAATTCCAACAATCTTTCAAAAAAAGGAAAAATAAAGTTAAATAATTCTATTTAATTTTTTGTTACTTGTGTTTTTCCACCTGTTCCTTCAACAACAGCACAACGTGACAGTGCAACACAAGCTGGGAAACCATTAAAAAATGCTGTAACAATATTTCCAACTGCATATGAGAAAAGTTCTTGATTTGGACTTATTTGATATTTATATTTTGTTGCAAATAATTTCGCCATACTTATATTAACAACAAAACATACAATAGCTATTGCAACAGCATCGCCTATAACATCAGTTATAGCTGCCATTGGAGGTGCAACTGGAGGTGGAATTCTATACAAAAAAGAAAATATTTTTCTTTCATATAGGTAAAATTCTTTTTATATACCCAAGTGGAAGACTACCGACAATACTGATATTCCAACGTTTGTTAAAATCAAATGCAGCAGAAAGACCAGTACCAAGAACTACCTATAAATATATATTTACTCAGTAAAACTTTAAAAAGAAAAATCTTACGATAATTAATTCAATTGGAACTGGTATTGGCATTCGTCCTTTGAATCGTTCATTAATATTATCACGAACACCAGCAAATAGAGCAATACTAATTGCACTACATATACATGTTGCCCCATTGGAATATTTTATATTTTTAAATATTTCAATCCAACTCTAATATATAAATAAATTCAATTTTATTTAATTAAAAGAAAATAACAAAATTTTTTTTCTTCATACCTTAATTACTTTTGATTGTCCATTTACGGTTTTTATTTTAATACCAAGTAATGGTGGTATTTGACTTGTTATTATATGTATAGCACATCCAGTAGTAAAACCTTGTACAATTGAATCTGATAAATAAACAGTAACATAACCAAAATGTAGTATAGCCATAGCTAAATGAATTAAACCAGCAACTAATGCTAATGCAGCACCAACCATAATACGAGCTTGAGCTGGATCATTACTTAGATATCGTGTATTACTACTAGAAGAAGATCTCATTGTTGTCGTCATTGATGCCAGGGTTTCACCAAAACTCGATGGATAGTCTGTTGTATATTCAAAATTTGTAATATTCATATCATCCGTTATATTAGATGTAGTTGGTGTGATAGCACCCGGTGGAATAAGTGTACCTACTCTGCTATTAACAGCAGCAAGAATCATCAGAGATGATACTGCAAATGTACCTATTAATAAAACAAAAATAATCATTCATGGACACTTTGCTATAGAATATAATTCAATTGATCTTACCAATACTTAAATGTCGTGATGAACCAAGAAAAGCATAGAGAATAACCGGAAAAAATGAAACATAAAGTCCTGTAACTGGTGGAAGACCAGCAAGAATAGCATATCCAAGACCTACTCACATATTATTAGTCATATCTAGAAAAAAATGATGTTAGTTTACCTTGAGGAATATGCACAATACCAATAGTTAATCCAGATACGATATCCGATACAAGCCATTCTTTTAGATTATAATGTCGTATCCAATCAAGAAATGGAATTCGTTTAAATAGTTGTCTTTTAAAAAAAGCTGGTGTTGGTTTGTAATATTTTTTAATATAATTCCATGTACCATCAATTGGACTTTCATCAAAATCTTGATTAAGATTATATCGTTCATTTAATTTTTCAACTGTAAATATACTTTTTCTTCTTTCAGCATCATTTCTATGTGTTGTTATTGGTGGCAATTCAGCTGATGAGAATTCTACAGAACTTTGTTTTTTATTACTTACAGAATTGAGTCGAGTCATTGTTCTAAAGAAATCGAAATATATTAAAACAATCTATATAAAACCATAAATCATATATCTTCTTAATTTTACAATTCGCCCTTGTTTTTTTATGGACTTATTTTTTTGTGAAAATGTCATATGAGAAAAATGTGTCTTCATGGATTCTTACAATTTATTGTTTTCAAATATGCAGCTAACATTTTAGATCTTAGCCTTGAATACGAAAGAGAGAGTAACGCTATTTTTTATTATTTGAGGTCGTCCAGGCATTTATAACTAGTATAAATCTAATTTTGATTATCAAGTGATAATAAGAGAAATCTAGATGTATTCTTATTGTTTTATTTTCTATGATGCAATATTTATTACCTTTAACAGCATGAAATGCTTTCAGAACTTGTTTTATTATTTATAAAAATAGGTGAGTGAAATCAATAAATATGATAACTTACCAGATGGATATCTTTCTCATGATGTATCCGTACGATTAATCCATTTTATTTCTCAAACAATACGTATTAATTCTATTTATTAACTATGATGTCAGTTGTTATTTCAAAGGTGAGATGGCTCAATGTATAAAGTTTAAGATTAGTTAAAGGTTGAATTTATTAAGTTTTCAGGTCAAAATAATATGCATAGTATAACTCATTTGTTTCTCAAACGATGTGGTATTTCGAATAATGAATATTAAATTCAAATGACATACGTAAAACGGCTTATACGAGTCATCTATGTTCTACTTTTCATTTTAATTTGAAAAATACTGATGTAGTTTTAAGAACTCATCAAATTCTTTCGGATTTATTAGCAAATATCAAACAGAACAGCTGTGTTATGTACATATGAACATTACGATCAGATTTTGAATTTTCCTAGATGAACTATAAAATTAAAAATGGAAGCAGTAACAAGAATATGATCTAAGATTAACATTGAATGATTTTTTGCATGATTAGGATAAAATATTTTATGAAAACTATTTTGTTTCTATCATATTAGTGTGGACTGCTCTGAGTAAAACAATTTATAGAAACAGATTATCAAAATATTCATTTATTTTCAAGTATTCAAGTGCAGATTTAATCCAATAAACTTCTGAAGTATCTACAAAAAAAGGTGATTTTTTCTATGCCAAAACTTATATGATTCAATAAATTTAAAATTCTAATTTTAGCCATGACATACATATCGATTCATCAGAATGAAATAAGATAGCAACTAAAACTCTATTTTCAATTATTCTTAAGATAAATAAAAATCTTCACTATTCATTCTCAATACTTGCGATCTCGATAACTTATTCTTATAAATATAAAAAAAATACTTACAATAAATCATGATCTACTATCACCACCAGTGCGTTTTTTTTATATCGATTGCGTTCCTTTTCAGCATAAATAGTTATTCATTGTTTCTTAAAAATATTTATCTAGCAAATCCTTGAACTCTTAATCCTAGTCAAAACTCTACACACCTTATTCCTTTTGAAAAAGAAATCTAAACCTACCTGTTCTATAAATCAAGGTTCTCATCATCTAATACATAAATATATTTATATCTACTCGATGATATGAAAAACTATTGCTTTTAAAATCAACATAGATTGACATTATACGGTCATATATATATATTTAATCTTTTTCTTTATTCTTGTTTTGTTATTTTATTTTCTGATGTTATTTTTTTTATATGTCTGTTCGTTTTTGCATTTTAACATGATCATACATGAGCAAAACAAAAAAAAATAAAAAATAAATTGTTTATTTGAGTTTCTTTTTTGGTCGTAAGTTACTTGTATGACCACATTTACGTTTACGACAATTAACGGCACGTGGATGAAGTCGAGCATAACATCTAAATATATATTTCATGTTAAAATGAAGAAATTTAATCATATTAATCTTACTTGCGACAGATAACCTTGTCACAGTTATATTTTTGTGCTAACAAACGGAGTGTTGGTTCAATAGTACCACCACGAAGACCTTTAATTTATCGAATATAAAACTAAATAAAGAAATATTGATTTGTACTTACGTAAGACTAAGTGAAGTGTACTTTCTTTTTGAATATTGTAATCGGATAAAGTACGACCATCTATAAAAACCAAAAACAGGGATGAATTTCGAAATATTTTCTTTAAATAAATGTTTACCTTCAAGTTGTTTGCCAGCAAAAATCAAACGTTGTTGATCTGGTGGAATACCTTCCTTGTCTTGAATTTTAGCCTTGACATTTTCGATGGTATCCGATGGCTCGACCTATATATCATTATTATGCTTTATATGAAATCAAAAATGTAATAAACATACTTCGAGCGTGATGGTTTTACCCGTGAGAGTCTAGAAAAAAATAAAACTTAATAATTAAAATCCTCTCTATATATCTAATTGATGAATTACCTTGACAAAGATCTGCATGATGGGTACTACTAAAATATCTATAAAAGAAAAAAAAGTATGATACTATATTCATTTAATAGGAAAAACAATAAATAAAAATGAACAACATTATCGCTACCATATCGAATGTTTACTAAGTATAGAAAACCTCCATGAGTTACAAATATGAAATTATTAAATAGATGAACTATTTAAATAAAAATATGTCGAAATTAACTGAATTTAATGATTTTAAAATATAATTTTAATAATTAACGATAGTAGCGCTGTATGACGAATGGATTACTTGATAATATTCTATGGATTTTTGCAGATGACGTGACTGTCAGCTATAAAATTTATATGGAATCGAGGAAATTCTACATTTGTTTTTATTGATATAGCGAAATGTAATATGAATACATAGGAATGATATGAATATATTTGTTATGTTGACCTACTTAAAAGGTCATAGAAAGATTCTTTTTTGATTTGCGCGGGATAATAGTTTAATTAGATAAGACTTGATTTGCACTTGATGTAGATTATATATCTTAGTTCTTAATCAATATTTTTTCTACAGAAATATAAACAAATCTACCGCTGTCAAAAAGAAGAGAAAAACAGCCCATATGTTCCTTTTTCTTTCTTATCATCTGGTATAGTCCATCAGATGGAAATTATATTTTTCCAGGCAAAATACTCTGATGTATTCTGTCTTTAATCAATCCTTTCTTTTTTTTCTTCTTCTTCTTCTTCCTTTCTTTTTCCTTAATGCAATTTGTACTTGGCACAATTCTTTTCTTTGACATATAGGATAATTTTTTTAAAACAAAAGAGAAATAATGGATCTTTTTTGATAAAAACGATAGTATGAATTCGAATGTTAGTCACGTAAAACCGTGTGATATCGTTTGATCATTAAAATGAAATAAAAGTACTTTCTTTGCTATCTTATATATTATTCATAAAGATAAGTCTATTGACTTAATACAACAAGTGCATAAAATAGATTGTAAAAAATATCAATATATCTAAGATTAGGAATTAAAACCCTTGAAATCCATAAAGTCCGAAGTTAACAACGCTTTTACTTGATCGATTTATGGTTTCATAGGAAAAAAAAGCATAATAAACCAAGGAAAAAAAAAGAGAAAAAAATAGAACGTCATAGTGAATATAATGTTGTTCTCTTTTTCCTCTTAGACACATTTATTCTTTTTTTTTGTTTTGGTCGTATATGTGTTTGTTGTGACCCCGCCAATATTTTTTTATCTAAACTAAAAAAAAGAATGGTAAGTCAATATAGTTTAAGGCATTATTAATTAGTATAAAAGTAAATCATTAACTGAGCATATATTTATGTCATAATCTAGATTGAAGATCCAGAAAATTCCGAAACCGACATGCAGCGTGCAGATCATCCACGTGAATCGCTTTCATCAGATGCAGAAATACGAGTAGGAAAATTCTGACTTATTCCTATTTTTTTTAAATTATATTCATATGCATTTAGAAAAGAAATATAAAAACAAAACGCGAACCAGGCCATCGGTAAATAAACTGAAAAATAGAAAAAAAAAGAGTAAAACTTGAAATTTTTTTATAGTATATTCGTCAATCGAAGTTTGCAATTGGATCGAATAAAATTCTATGGCTTCGATATGGATTATACATTAGCATTGTATAAATCACCTGAATTTGAAGAACTAACATTTCAACAAGTACTTGAAACATTAATTGAACTTGGCTATCCTGAACAAATTCGGGAATTTGTCTATGATCGAACATTTCCATTAAGGTTAATCAAAAAAAATAGTCATTTCTAACTTTTTTTATTCTTTTCTTCTAGAGGTCTTTGGTATGATAAATTATATGGAAATATACTTAAAGTTGATGCTTATGGGAATATTCTTACTGTTGTACATGGCTTTAAATTTCTTAATGGGTATGTTCTATAATAATCATAAGGTCAAATTTTCTATTTTATCTTTTAGACATGAAGTTCGTCAAATGTATCCAAATAAATATATTACTGTCGATGATCGTGTCTATGTATTTTATACACTTTTTAATTTACCAGGTAATTAAAAATAATGAGATAATTAGAACAAAAAAAAAGAATTTGTTGTTTTTTATATTGTAGAAATTTATCTGATTGCGTGCTTAATTGATTATTTTTCTACAGTGGCAACATATGTTGAGTATGTATAACAAATGATTTTGTTTTTTCCCAAATAAATAACGATTTTTGTAAATATGTTATTATAGAAATCGTACTGGTGTTATATATGGACAAAATATTCTTTCATTTCGTGCTATATTTAATGATGTTCGTAATTCAATTGATCGTGTTCATCAACGAGTAATAAAAAATTTTTTTTCATAATTTATTTTGAGGAATTTGTCTTTTAAAGGATAAATTGAAAGAAACTGTTTGCGAAAATATTGAAAAATATGTTCATAAAGATCCTCAATTACCAGTATTATTGGATCGGTAATTTATTAAAATTTTATTATTTATTAATTTTATTTTTTCTGATTGAATTAGAATTCGTTCACACAATGCAAAAACATTTTTATTAACCAATAGTGAATATTGGTATACAAATAATTTAATGACTTATTTATTAA